AGCCATTCTCAGTGACAACAAGGTCCCAAGCTCCTCCTCTGATGAGAACAGCCAAGTTCATCAGGAAAGCCAGCATGAAATGTCCTCCAGCAGAGTAGCCCAAGAGAACCAGCAGCTCCCTGACAGCTTCCCAAACAACTTCTACCAGCTCCCAACTGCCTCTCATACAGCTTCTCTCAGTTCCCAACAGCCTCTAATTTCTTCCTCTCCAGCTCTGCCTCTTATGCTGCTGGCAACAATCCCCAGGTGGGCCTCCCATACCCAGCACCATATTTACTCTGTTCGGCTGGGTGTTACAACTTGACCAACAGTTGTCAATCCACACACCAACACTATTATGAAGTATTTAGATCTTTCTAACAAAAGATATTTAATTGGAATACCACTTTATTTCTTAATTCATTTGTGAGTAAACTGAGAAATCTTTGATTTGTTTTTCAGGGTGGGAAAATCCCCATAAGGTGGACAGCACCAGAGGCTATTGCCTACAGAAAATTCTCCTCAGCAAGTGATGCATGGAGCTATGGCATCGTCATGTGGGAGGTTATGTCCTATGGAGAGAGACCTTATTGGGAAATGTCCAACCAAGATGTAAGTGCCCTGCAGGGACAGTCCTGTTGTTTTGTGACTATGAACACATTAGCTTTTGAGAGAGAAATAACCTTTTGTTCACACTCCAATTAGCCCTTGTCTTTCTAAGAGTTGCTCAAGGACAATGGCTAAGTTTGAGAAGATGAGAAAATTTTCACTCTGAGTCGATTTCGAAGTCCTGAGCTAGCTAGCAGGTTTTGCCCTATAAGTACCTGATCCACATGTTACTTCAGAGGCAACATTGTTCTGCTGTGGCAAGACTTTGCTTATTCAACCAGCGGGACCTACAACTAAAACAAAAGAGTAATGCTTACTTTCAATTTCTGCTAATAGCTGAACAGTGCACTGCTATAGAAGGCAAATAAATATAGGCCAGATAGCACTTACAAGAAAGAGTGAGGGAAACTGTCAATGAGTCCTTGATTGATCAATATTTCATGTCTCTGTTTTCATGAGGAACCACTTTGAAGATATGAATATGTAATACAACAAGCATTGTTAATTTCCTACCACTTTGTTTGTAACTCTGTATTGTCTGTATTGTTCTTTTGCTATTTTGTAAAAGGTTGTCTGTCTGTTAATATTTTCCTCCTTTTATTTTTAAAAGGAAAAAAAGAAAAAGAAAGGAAGAGTGAGAGCTTTCAGGCAATGCTTTATCAATATATGTCATCTAGTATCATTCCTTTGAGATACATGATCTTTTCTGCAATCTGCCTTGCTTTATGTTTTTATTTTAAAAATAAAAGGAGGAAAACATTAACAGACAGACAACATTTTACAAACTAGCAAAAAACAGTACAGACAATACAGAGTTACAAAGTGGTAGGAAATTAACAAGTCTTCTTGTATTATATATTGATATCTTCAAAGTGGTTTCTCATGAAAACAGATAGAGACATGCAATATTGATCAGTCAAGGACTCAATGACAGTTTCTTTCAGCAAAGAAATAGAAGACAGTAGATCAACCATGTTAAGTATCCTCTATATACATACACACAAAATATCTCCTTTCCCTTCTCTTTTCCCACATCGCAGTTGCCCTTTAACCTTGA